CCGCGGCCCTCCCCGCCGCCCCGCCGAGCCCTCCGCGGTCCTTCCCGCCGGAGCCCGCCCGCGCCCAGCCCTCACCCAGCAGGAGCAGCTTCACTTCTTTGGCCGCTTTCTCCCCGTCCTCCCGCAAGTTGCGGTCGATCATCTTACTCCGCTCCACCGCCGCCTTGTCCTCGGCGCTCAACGTGCAGCCCATGACAGCGGCGGAGTGGGGCCTAGGCCGAGCTCGCTGGCGCTGGCGCTGGCGCTGGTGCTCGCGCTCGCTCCGCGGGACTGCGGCTGGACGGCGGGGCCTGCGTCCTGCGGGCGGCGGCCCTCTCGTCAGCAGCCCGAGCGCCCCGAGCACCCGGACTTCCGGCGTGACGCCACTTCCGGCGGCGCCGACGGCCCTCGGCGCTCGAGCCTCCTTCCCAGCCCGGGGAGGGGCGTCGAGCGCGAGGGCGGAAGTCGGCGGGCGGGGCGCCCCGCGCCGCGAGGCTCGGTCGGGCTGTGTGCGCCCGCCAGCCCGCGCACCCCCTTACGTACTGGGCTCCTTGATCCGGGTAAATGGAGGGACACCGGGGCCTCCAGCTCAGGGTGCGCGCCAGAGGACGCGCGGCGAGCGGGCTGTGGGTGGGACGCGGGGATCCCTCTAGCAGCCACAGGCCTCACGGTAACCGCTACGTGGGCTCCTCCCTGGCCGGAAAACCTCTTGGATCTCTGATCTGGATATCCCGGGCGCCTCCCCAACTCCCTAAATTGTCTCACAGACCGATGGGATGGGAGCAAACTAAGCCAGCTCGGGCTTCATCCACTTGGTAACCTGAGATCTGTGACACCCATCCTGCCCAAGACCAGCCCTCTCCTCTGACCCCCTGCTCCTCCTCTCCTATGTGCTGGTCGGGCTTAGGGTCTACCCAGCACCTTTGTTGGGAAGGGGCCGCTTTGAAATCACTAGATCTCTGTCCTGAAAGGTAAGTGTGCAGCTCATCCAAAAAATGTCCTTGGTGCCCATCTTTCTAGTATAAGCCAAATTGTCCTCTATGGTAGGAGCTTAGGACCTCTACCAAGATCAGTCAGTTTACACCCTCCCCCAAAAAACAAAACCGTGTATCTTTGGAATCTCCTATGAAAATATCCTATCGTGCTAACCACACAAAATGTTGTAATAAAAATTGTCTCTCCGATATTAGCTGAAGATTAATAAATGCCCTGTGAAAGGCCCATACTGGTATCTTCTTTAACCCGTAACCCTTACTGTGAAAGTGACCCGAAATTACCTTTTCTGTCATATAGCTTCACAATTACTATACATAGTAGGGAAAAGGATGGTTTTGCTGCCTCTAAAGCCTTTATCTCCCTAACAGAATCTAGACAGGATTTCACTAGGTTTCAAGGCTGGCCTTGAACTTTTTATGTTGCCCAGGCTAGCCTCAAACTCCTGGTGATCCTCCTGCCTCAGCCTCCCGTGTGCTCAGATTACAGGCATGTGCCATCATGCCCGGCTGATTCACTAGAAACATTTAGAGAGTAGATCCCTTTATGCAGCCTGGCCTTCCATTGCTTAGCAATAAATGCCAATTCATTAGAGTTCAAAAAATCTCCCTCTCATTTTCAAATGACAAAAGGAACTGTATTTCCCTTAATACTTCTGGGGTGGAAAAAGGGCAAGAGGAGAGAAAAGAAAAACCAGTATTTATTGAGTACCTGTTTGCCAGGGATGGCTGGGCGCTTCCCAGTCTCATTTCTTAATCCTCACAACAGCCCTGTGAGGTAGGTAATAATGATCCCCATTTTGTCAGATGAGGAAATAGGCTCAGAGAAGTTAAGCAGCTTTCTCAAGTTCACACAGTGAGTAGGTAGACCAGTCTTGACTACAAATTTATGTACCCCTTCCTTTTTTTTTGCTCTGCCCCCTAAAAGATGTTGCCTGGGGTACCTGACAATAGAAAATCTGTGGTTTTCATCAAAGCTGGCAAACCACCCCAGTACCACCAGGATGCAGAAAAAAATAACCAGCAGGATGGTTGCCTCCACCTGTTGATTCTTCAGTATATTAAGGAGGTTGGACTCTGTTCATGGATATTTCTCAAAGCTAAGGATTATAGACTGAACGTTATCAAGCCATCCTGGTTACCTGAAAATTCTGGAAAGTGCTCATAGCAAAAATTTTTGGGAAAGTCCTCAGCATAAAAAAGATAAAACTTTTATTTCCTTCATGATCCATTCTTACAGGGAAAAATAAATGGCAAAGAAACTAATATGTATCAAACTGCAGTAAATGCCATTGAGATCACAGTGTCAGGTAAGCTCAGCCTGAATCAGAGATATCCTTACACTTAAAAATCTTTCTTCTTTGATGTATGTGAAGGAACAGTTCAGAGACAATGTCAACAACAAAAAAGGCAAAATAAATTAACAAAATGGCTGCCGGCTCTGTTTGACGCCCCTCCGTCCCCTTGCGCACACCTGTTTGCCGTGGAGTCACACCGCCATCTGCTGGCAATGCCTCAGCTCTGGCCCCTAACTAGTGGCGTTTGAAAGCTGCTACTCCCCTCATGAAATTCCTAGCTATGAGTTTAGCTTAAAAGGAAATTTTTGTTTTGTTTTGTTTTTTAATGGCAAAGGACTCTCCTTACTTTAACAGACTTTCCTCCTAAGGGATTTCTTCAGTGTAATAGGCACTAAACTGGGATAGTTCAGTGATAGGAAGACAAAAACCTGGAAATGTTCCCAGCTCAGAAGGGAAAAGGCTGTTTGCCCAGTTTCATTTAATAAGTTTCACTTACAATCCCCATTCTTGCCACAATTTTCAGGAAGACTATCACTGAGATGAGCTTTCAGAAGCTAGAACCACGAATATATATTCTCCAATATATTTCTTAAGCACATTATATAGTGCTTTAGCAAATCTAAGTGCTGTATAAAAATACTAAGTATTTGATCAAATTAGGCTGTGAGCTTCTTGAAAGTGGTAACCACACATTCTCTGTGTAGGTACCAGAGAATAGTGGATGTTTAATTACTCTTTACTGACTTGAACTGAAGGAGTCAATGTTAATATCAGTATAATACCTTTATCATAAAAATTATTTATTGGCTGTTCAAAGGAGAATATTCTACTTCCACTGGCCCATTTTCCCCCTCAGTGAACCAATAATTTGTTCAGATATAGACCACATCACCCTTTGGCCCTGTGTTGGCCCTTTTGTGTTACCTAATTCAATGGAGGGAAGTGAGACAAACAGGAGGTCCCAGATGGGTGTCCTGTCCAGCTCACAATTATTCCCTCTCCATTGAAAATACCATTACCAGCCAGGCATGCCTATAATCCCAGCACTCAGGAGGCTGAAGCAGGAGGATCACAAGTTCATCACCAGCCTGAACAGCATAGTGAGTTCAAGGCCAGCCTGAGTTATATAGTGAGACCCCATCTTAAAAACAAAACAATCACAATGCACTTCCTACAGACTCCCGGTAAACAGCTGAGCCCAACTCCTGTGCCTTCTCCAACCCAGGGACACAGATAAGAGAGATTGAAGTCTTTGACACTGAAGCTAATTTTGAGAGCGATGAGTGGAAGCAGGGAGGAGTTTAATGGACCATGGATACCCCGCCCTTCCCATGCCCAACCTTGGTCTTTTGTACGCGATTGTCCAGGGGGCTGGAGATGGGTCACTGCCGTGAGGAGAGAGATCAAGGAGGCCAATCCTGGAAAAAAAAGATTTTTAGGATTATTGCTCAGGGTGGTTTACGTGGTCTCTGTATCAAAGCCACCTTACCAGTTCAAATGTTAACCCTCCCCCTCAGCTAGCGGACCCCCAGCTGTTGTATTCATCCTAAAAGACAGGGAGAAAGCACCATCCTATGCTGTCTCTGCTGAGATCAAGTTCCACACAAGACAGAATAGAAAAGCTTTTCCTGAAGATTGTGGGACAGGGAATTGCAGTCACCTTTCCTGTCTTTGATTACATGTCCCCTAGTCACATGTTCCCCTTACTTCTGGCCAAACGTAGGAAGAGAATATCCTGCTTCATACTCTCCATTTAAGGAAATTTCAAGTATAAATCTAGAAAAAAGATCTACTAGCTCATAGGGAAACACCTGCTGCGATTTCATCCTTTTTAAACCTAGTAAAGAAATAAGACACAGGTCATTTTCTTACCTTGCTTGAGTGCAATTATTGCCCTGGACATTTACACTGAAAAATAAAATGACCTCAGTGGTCCCCAGATACCTCCGGATCTGGCTGCTGCCCTAGTCCCCCACTCGTCCCCTTAGAGAATTTCCCTGCTTCCTGAGCATGGAAATTTCATCAACTGATAGCTTCACCTCACCTTTGTGACCCTTTCCTCTTGTCACCGTCTCATCATACCCAGGTTCCCTCCCCCAGTAATCAAAGATCGGCCAAGTCTAAAGCTTTTGCCACATGTCCATCCTGTTGGCTCTGGTCCTGACCCAGGAAATGCTAAGCAAAAGCTATATGCGGAGACCCCGGACCCTGAGCCCGCCGGCTGGAAAAAGTGGTCCCACGAGGTGCTCCTGGTGACCGAGACTGGCCCTCAAACCCATCTCCCTTCAAGTGTCCACCAGCCCATCATGACTCCAGTCGGGGCGAGGGGCCAGGACGGAGGTAGCTGTCTGACACAATGATGTCACTGGTGAGTTGCTGCTCCAGGAACTCGGAGGTTTCTTCAGCTATCTGACCTGGGATTCGAAAGTCAACAGCGGGTGGCTCCTGCTTAGGGCTGGGCGGAGGCCTGGAAACCCAGTTCTCAGCAGGACAGCCGGTTCCCTGAAGGAACTGTAGGAAGTTCTCCTCGATGGAGCCCTCCCTGCTAGGCAACCTCAGCTCCTCCTCTGGAGCAGACTTGAAGAAGCAGACAAACTGTTTGCTGAGCTCCCCCCGGATCTGCCGGTTGAGACATCCATAGAAGAAAGGGTTGGAAGTGAAGCAAAAGTAGCCAATCCAGGTCACTACGTTCTCCACCTGCCCAGTTGAAATGGGCTGAGCACTCAGGGCAACATAGAGATGGAAAGAGAAGTAGGGCAACCAACAGAGCAGGAACTGTCCCCCCACAGCCAAGAGGACCACTGCTGCCTTCCCTCCCCCGAACGTCCGGTGTGGAGTGGTCTGAGGGGCCCCAGAGCTGGTGACCATAGTGGATCGGCTGCTGAGCGACTCGGAGCGCTGCCGGGGTGTCTCCATCCATGTGGGCAGTGGCCCGTGCTGCATGGCTGCAACACGAGCCACTCGGAACATGCTGCAGTAGACCACAAGGATGAGGAGCAAGGGCAACAAGAAATAAAGGACGGCAAAGACCACCACAAAAAGCTGGCAGTAGGCACTGTGGCTCCATTGGAGTGAACAGCC